GGTAAATGTTTACAGGTAATAAGGGATTCACTATTAATTATTCATGGCAGGGTCACTTTAATATTTCCAGCCTCTCTGGACAAAAAAGGAAATCCCGACTTTCTTTCTTTTACAGCCCTCCTATGTCCCTATTACCATGCCTGTACTTGCCCAAGTCCCCGTTGCCATGCCCGTACCTGCCCAAGTCCCTGTTGCCATGCCAGTACCTGCCATCGCCTGACCCTCTGAGGTGCGTCCCAGTGTGAAGGCTGTTGACCGACCAATGCGGTCCAGGCCCAGTGCCGTCCAGTCTTGTCGCTGCCCATCATCATGACATCACCCTGTAAGGACCCAATGGGCGTTGTCCGTCACCAGGCGGCATTGAGGGACCCCACCACTCTACAGGGAAGATGCTACAATAGAAGTCTTGGGACCGGACGGGTCATGTGACCGCGGATTCAGGGAAGTATTTGGGGAATTTAGCTTTTGGTTTTTCTCCTGACCCGTCTTCCTCTTTCACACTTGGGGCTTCCTGCAGGTTCAGGAATGGAGCAGAGAGGGCGGCAACAATCCCTTTGTGGGGAAGAAGCATCGTAGCCTCCATGATGGTGCCGTCCTGCAGACCGTGCAGAGGATTCCCGGAGTGGGACGGGTGAAAGCTCAGCAACTCCTCCAGACTTTCCCCAGCCTCCAGGAGCTCGCCAACGCCTCCCTCACCGAGCTGGAAGCTGTGGTGGGGAAAGGGATGGCCGGCAACATCCACAAATTCTTTACCAAAACGTGACACAGCCGTGAGACGTATTCTTAGCAACCGCCAATCAGAAACAAGAGCGCTGCCTGATGGATATTAATCAGAAAAAAGAGCGCTACGGGACAGTTACCAATCTGAAAAAAAAGCACTACCTGGCAGCTACCAATCAGAAGCAATCCATTAGATGGCTGCGTGACAACACAGGAGCACAATTGGAAGTCAGGGACAGAGCGTTGTCACCCTAAAACAGGAAGTGTCTGAATCTGGACCTTCATGGCAGGATCACCAGGGACTATTTTAATGAAAGCTGCGGATTTAAGAATGTAAGTTCAAATGTCAAAGCCGAATAAACCGATGAAATGCATATCTGGGAGCTGATTTACCTGTAAAGGATTTGCATTTCCACTTCCTGATTGCCTGTGTCACTTGCTAAGGCTTCCTGGCCAATCAGGAAGCTGGGAGGCTAGTCATAAGGTGCCGTCTGGCTTCCCGATTGGCTTGGCAGCCTGGCTTCCTGACCCATTGTGAAGCCAGGCTGCCTAAGTAATCGTGGAGTCAGGTGGCACATCATGACCCGCTTCCTCATTGGCTAGGAAGCCGGCTTCACTTGTTGCTAGGCGGCATGGCTTCCTGACCAATCCGGAATTCGTGATGAGGTAGCTTGAAGCCGCCTTTCCCGGCCAATCAGAAAGCCAGGACGCATGTAATGACTCGCTGCCCAGCTTCCTAAACCCGGACGTTCGGGTATTGGGCTCGGCATCGGGGCATTGGGGCGAGTACCCGGTATCGGTGTCACCGTAATGGAAACAAACCCCGGCCGCCTTTAGTAAGGAAGGTTTCTTAGCCGTGTACGGATCCCATTTATTGTCGCGTCGCAGAGACGACTTCTCCGTCATTTCTCACTTAGAACATATCGCACAATAAGATGACAACCGACAAATCGCTTCAATATTTTATTCTGTGGATGTCACCTTATTAAACATCAATAAACAGGAAGTGTGCTTCCCTCCATCTCCTCCTCCTCATCACTATACATAATAAACCTTAAATACATTTATATACATAATATACGTCTATAATCCTAAACGCGGATCCTCAGGACAATGTATTCCTTACAAAATATCTACATTTTGTTACTTTTCCGGCCCCGCGAGAGGTTCCGGTGATTCTTTTTACATTTGTGCTGCTTGTGTAGAGTGTCATACAGCCTGTCATAGCCCCGCCCCCTCTGGACTTCCTACTCACGAGTGGGAGGAGCATCAGCAAAATGATTTTGTCTAAAGCAGCTCGGATTGGCAGATAGTCAATGAACCGGTTACATTTTCTTATTCATGTAATTACAAGGAATCAAGGCGGGGAGGCCACCTCGGCACTCCAGCGGTGGTGGAACTGGCGGTCAGAGACTTGCAATGCCTTGTGGGACTTGTAGTTCCACCACAGCTGGAGTGCCGAGTTTGCCTTGCCCCCCTGAGCCGAGAGGAGAAAAGCCAAAAATAACATATCCCCCTCTAGGCGCTGCAGGGAGCTCTGCTATATAGGCTAGACCAGGGGTTGGCAACCAGGAAGGAACTACAACTCCCAGCATGCCGCTGGGAGTCTTGCCTGTGGCCGTCAGTCTTGCTGCTCATGACGGGATTTGTAGTTTCCCGGAAGCTCGGTGCCGAGGTTGCCTACCCATGAGCTAGACCGGGGGTGGGCAACTCTGGCCTTCCAGCTGTGATGGAACTACAAGTCCCATGAGGCATTGCAAGACTTGACAGTTACCGGCATGACTTGCAGAGGCATGCTGGGATATGTAGTTAAAGCACAGCTAGAGGGCCGAGGGTTGTCTACCTGCGCGGATAACTTCCTGTTCTGCAATCTTTATCCGTTACCCGGGGCTACAGGACCCCTCCCCTCTATGCATGTGCAGAAGAGGAGGAGTTTTTGCAGCCCTGTCCTAGGATGACACCCCCTGGGCCACACTTTCCATCCTTCGTGATCTACCCCTTTGCCTCACACCCGTGCCTTGCGGTAGCATGCTGTTTACCGTGTGTTGCGGTAACGCCGAGGGTGCGGTGCCATCAGAGTAGCGCGCCCCCCC